AGTGTTTTGAATTGAAAATTAAATAAATAACAATAAAAATTGTAAAAGATAAAGAAATATAAGTTATGAATATTTATTAATTTATTTAGTTTTCTTAATTATTTAAACGGAATAATAAATTTAAGTCTTAAAAAGAAACTCAATATCTATTATTAAATGATATCATAAGAAAAGTATTACTAAAAATATCCACAGTATAAAGAAATTTAAATTCATAATGAATGATGTAAATATATAATTAATTAAAAATAAATTATAACAAGAATAAATTACAAATGAAAAATCTAAAACATCAATTAGATATTAATTTAAATTTCTTTTTATTGAAAATCAATCATAGATGAAAAACATGTATTCCTTAAGTAAAATCTCAAACATATTAAGAGATGTCAATTAAATTTAATTGTTAACACAACAAATGAAATGCTATACTCTAAACAAAAAAGTATAAATTCAAACAATTGATTAAATATTAAAGAAGTCTTTTAATAAAAAGAAAAAAAATAATAAAATCAACAATTAAAAAGAGATATTTAAAAATAATTTGTTATAAAAATTATATTTAAAAATGAAGAATAAAAAAGAAAAAATGAAAGTTATTTTAGGATATGAATAAAAATATTATTATTATATAAGATTAAAACATTTTATAGTACAAAAAGAAGAATAAAATTAAACAAAAAACCAAAAATAAGTTAAAAAAAAGGACGAAAAATGTTATAAATCAAATGAAAATGAAGCGAAGAAGGAGTAAGAAAAGGAGGTTCAAACCAACTGTAAATTAGTACGAACTTTCAAATAAAGAAGAAAGAGGAATGGTTCGATTATTACGTCTATTTAAAACCAAACCAAAAGAGAGTTATTACCCAATTACACTTAATGATATGAAAATGAATAAAAAACAAGGTTTTCCCAATAATATAGTGAAGACATCCAAGTATAGCATTCTTTCATTTCTTCCAAAATTTTTAATTACACAATTTACAATGGTAACAAATATATATTTTTTAGCTATTTTAATTATTTGTTGTATTCCATCAATATCAACAGTAACACCAATTACATCAATTATTCCATTAATATTTGTTTTAGTTGTTGCAGGAATAAAAGAAATTTATGAAGATGTTAGAAGACATTTAGCAGATAGAAAATTTAATCAAACAAATTATATTCATTATACTTCAAATAATGAAATTTCTATTCAATCAAGAAGAATTAAAACAGGAATGATAATTAAATTAAAACAATCTGACATTGTTCCAGCAGACTGTATTCCTTTATTATCAAGTAATCAAGATGGAATTACATTTATTGAAACTGCTGCATTAGATGGTGAAACTAATCTCAAACAAGTATTAGTTCCCAATTATTTTATTGGTAAAACAATTAATGATATTAATGAATTAAAAGGTACTTTATTATGTGAATACCCACAACCAAAATTTGATCAATTTAGAGGATCAATAACAATAGGAAATGATAAAGTTTCAATAAATGAAAAAAATTTATTAATGCAAGGAACAATAATAAGAAATACTAAATTTGTTTATGTTATTATTTGTTATTGTGGGATTCATACTAAATTAAGTCTTAATCAAACTCCACCAAAATTAAAAAAATCAAATATTGATAAAAAATTTAATATTTTTGTATTTGTTATGATTATTATTCAATGTATTATATGTTTAATTCTTTCTATTTTATCAGGGCATAGTCATTCAATAATAAATAACCCAAATGAAGGATTTTGGTATTTACCTAAAGATGATATTAATAACAAATTTTATGGATTAAAGAAATTCTTTGGATATTTTACATTAATTTCTTATATAATTCCTATTTCATGTCAAGTCTCTTTAGAATTAGCTAAATTTGCACAAGGTATTTTCTTTGAACAAGACGATGACATGAAAATTAAACAAATAAACAGTAACGGGAAAGAAGAAATTGTTGGAATGAATGCTAAATCAACTGGTCTTAATGATGAACTTGGAATGGTGAAATTTGTTCTTTCAGATAAAACAGGTACATTAACAGAAAATGAAATGAAGTTTAAAAAATGTGCAATAAAAGAAAATGTTTATGATCTCTCCAAAATACAAGAAATTTTAAATATATCAAATAATAAAACTACGAAGAATAAAGAAATAAATGAAATTAATATTAATAATAATTATAAAGAAACAAATCATTCATCTTCTTTTATTTATTCTAATGAATTAATAAATCAATCATTAATTAATTCAAATGAACAAGAAACTCAAGATGAAAACAATAAAAAGGATATAATAAATTTCTTAAAATGTATGGCATTATGTAATACTGTAAATATAAATGAAGGAAAATTTTCATCTCAAAGTCCTGATGAAGAGGCATTATGTTTAGCAGCAAAAAATTGTGGAATTGAATTAATTTCAAGAAATCAAAAAAGTATTGAATTATTAGAATTTGGAATAAATAAAAAGTATAATATTTTAAGTACTTTTGATTTTAATTCAGATAGAAAAAGAATGAGTATTTTAACAAGAGATGAAAATGGTATAATAACACTTTGGTGTAAAGGAGCAGATAATGTAATGAATGAAAGATGTACTCAAGAAGGAAAAGAATGTATGGAATATCTTAATGAATTTAGTTCTATTGGATTAAGGACATTAGTTCTTTCAATAAAAACAATTAATGAAGAGGTATTTAGTAAATGGTATGAAAAATATGATGATGCAATAAATTTACTTGAAGGAAGAGAAGAAGAAGTAGAAATATTACAAAATGAAATGGAAAAAGATTTAAAAATTATAGGAATTAGTGCAATTGAAGATAAATTACAAGAAGGAGTTCCAGAAACAATTGAAATGTTATTAAGAGGAGGAATTAAAGTATGGATGATTACAGGAGATAAAATGGAAACAGCGATAAATATAGGAAAGTCATGTAAATTAATAAATAACGCATATTATTGTATTAATGATGATACACTTGATCAATGTAAAATTACTTTAAATGATATTAAATTAAAAATTAATAAACAAAAACATAATTTTAGTTTAATTATTAATGGAAAAAATACAGATTGGTGTGTTCATGAATTAAAAAATATTTTTAAAGAAGTCATGTTACTTTCTTCAAGTGTTATTTGTTGTCGTGTAACTCCAAAACAAAAAGCAGAAATAACAAATTGTGTGAAAAAAATTACAAATAAAATTGTTTTAACTATTGGAGATGGTGCAAATGATGTTCCAATGATTAATACTGGAAATGTTGGTGTTGGGATTTATGGAAAAGAAGGAAATCAAGCTGCAAGAGCATCTGATTTTGCAATAAGAAAATTTAGACATTTAGCAAAATTAATTTTATATCATGGAAGAACTTCTTTATTAAGAAATTCTGAAATTATTAAAATATGTTTTTATAAAAATGCATCCTTCTTTTTAATATTATTATGGTATTCTTTTATAAGTAATTTTACTTGTCAAGTTGTTTATGACGATTATATTATGACCTTCTTTAATATTTTATTTACTCAAATTCAACCAATTCTTATCGGTATTTTTGATAGAGATTTACAATGGCAAACTATCCAATTATTCCCAGAAGTTAATAAAGAAATTCATAAATCATTACGTGGAAAAGTTATCAATTTTATTCTTTGGTTCTTTTATGGTATTTATCAATCTCTTATATTCTTTTTTGTATTCTTTTGGTTTATATCACCCTCTGATATAATAGGCAAAGATGGATTAAATGGAGGTATTATTTACACTTCATTAACAATAACATTTTATTCTTTATTTACTGTAATTGTCACATTAATTATTGAAACAAAAACATGGAATTGGATATTAATCATTGGTCATATTATTTCTATTATTTTTATATTTATTATCTATGGATTAACTTGTTATATTCCTGGCTATTCTACTTATAACATTTCTTGGAATGGATTTACTTATGTTTTCCAATCATTTACTTTTTATTTAATTACTATATTTACTATAATAATTAGTGTAGCCCCCTTAATTCTGAAAAGATTTATTCAAAGATATTTCTTCCCTGATATGTACCATGTCGTTCAAGAAATTCAAACATCTCTTGAAACTAATTATGGTAAAAACAGACAGTTCTTCTCTGAAGGAAGTAATGAACTAAAACAATTAATTAATCTTCATCTTCCTTTAATCTCAAAAGATATTTCTTTTAATCGTACTCCTTCTGATAATCAATTAAAAGAAATTGAGTTGATTGAAGAAAATTGATATACTGTGTTGTAATGTAAAACTAATATGACCATCTAATTCTTTTTATTAAATTGTTTTTGACTTTTTATTTCTTGCTGTTTGATATTTGTTGTTTAAAACTAACCATTAACTTTCTGTTTTGAATGACTTAATTTAATTAATTATCACTTCTGTATTATGGCATTATTCAAATATTACCATCTACAACTCATACACAATAAAATTGTATACTGAGCTGTATTACTTAACGATTCAGCAACTTCCTACATCACATCTTAAAACACACCCAATAACGAAATACTCTTTGATTTTATCTTACATTAATTTTTTATTTGCTTTACATTAATAATTTCACTATATTAATAAATGTAAATAATAACAATGTTAGTAGTAAATAATATTTTCATCACAAATTACTTCTTATGCTGTAAATAATCAAATACATATTAGAAATATTTCATTGACATTTTCTGAAGAAATAATATACTTAATCCTGATAAATGTATGACTCAGGATAAAAATAAACATATTAATGCTCTTCAGACATATAATGATATTTGAATGTAAAACTAAACAAATTATTAAATAGAAAGTGAAAAATAATACTACATACTAATCAATAATTTTTACTATTTCACTCATTCAATAATAATCAATCAGATAATCAAAGAATATCAATGAAATAACAAAACGAACATACTCCTTCGTTTTGAGATGTTAATATAAACTATTTAAATGGAACAAATGAAAAAAGAAGAACATTAAATGTTATTTGTGTTGTGTTTATTAACTCTTAGTAATGCATATCTTATATTTGATGGAAAAGACTTCTTTGATTCTTGGGCAATATTTAATACTGCTGGATTGTTTGTTTTAGTACTAATTATCATCTAAATCTCAATAAATTTGAAAGAAGAATAAAAAGAAATTGACCATTAGAAACATCGAATTAAGTAAGAACTCAACTACAAACTACTTAAGTGCAAAGCTTCGTTGTTGGGATACTATTTATGTACAAAGAACATCAAGCATTGATACGTCTGCTTCAAATTTCTTTTCATATGAAATATACTTCAAATCAGACCAAGTTAAAACAATGAGATTTAGAACACGTTTATTCTCATCTGCCTACAACCAACAAACAGAAACTGAATTAAAACCATATGACTATATAGTTAAGTCTGGAATTGCTACTAAGGTTTATGTTCCATTGAGTTATGAAGATGAAAAAAATACATTACAAACATTCTCCATACAAAGAATAGAAACAACAGACGAACCAATCACATTCAAAATTAATGCTATGACTCTTGAAGCTGAAGGTGTTCCAACACCTAACAATGAAGTTTATAGTGAATCTGATGAACAAAGTAAAAGTGAAGAAACATCAATAGATGGAAGTAATGCACTTGCCATTGTTGGGTTGTTAGCAGTCATCACGTTGATTGCATTTTAATTGAAGAATCATTTTGATTTTATTCTCTTATTTTTCTTATTCAAAAGTCTATTTCTTCACTTTTCTAAAATATTTTTCTTGATAGCTTTACCTCCTAATTTTTAGTCACTGTTTAGTTCTAGGTCAGACATTCATTATTAATGTTAGTTACTTTCTTTGAGATTGCTTAATTGTTGGTTAGTTTGTTTACCACCCTTTCCCGAAACAATATCCGTTCACTGTTCTATTGTTATTCAATAAAGTTAAATCAACTATAACAAGTTTATGCCCTTAGATATAATAGCACACCATACCATAATTCCAGTGGTACGAGATAATTTCAGTTATAATTAATAATTATGATTTAGGTAATTCTGTCTTTTGATTTTAAACTTCTGTGAGTAGAGCTCTCACAACTACTATGAAGTATTATTAACAATCAGTCTTAAAACAAGGTACTTTTAATGACCAATAATGTTTCAATGAAATAAATTGGGAATATGTTTTACAATTAAATTTAAATTAAAAACACATTGTTCTAACACAAATTAAATACAAACATTGTTACATAGATTTTAGTGATGAAAACGATATGGTTTTAATTAAAGTCTTCAAGAGGATAATTTTATGTTAAAACACTCTTTATTAAAATAAAATGTTTTGTTTTTCAAAAGAAGAAGAGTCATAAAAGAAAAGGGTGAACTCTTTTTTTAATGTCAAATTATTGTTCATAAACTGTAAACCAATCAAAAAAGTGTAAATTTAAATCAATCCTTTTGTTTCTGTAACTGGACAATAACTAATGGGGTAATTGCATGATGCCTATGAACTTGACATAAACGTAATAATTGTTGGACTTGTTGTGGTTTAAAGTCTTTGGAATATCTTTGAACAAAAACTAACAATCCTTGATGCCATAATAGTGGTGTATCAACTTTCTTATCAATAAATCCAATGTAATAATTAGCAACAGCATCAAGAGCAGCATATGGAAGAGAGTATTTTTTATCTAATAATGTTTTCAAAAACAGAGCTTGAGTAGAATTGTATTCCATTGTTGACAATTTATAAAGTGCAACTGCGCTGTGTTTTGAAGGAATAGAAACCTTGTGTAAAATAGATGCAATGATTGTAGCTTCCTTAAGAGTGACATCTTTCTCTTGACAAAGAGGGAAAATTAACCCCTTAAAAAATGCTTGTGGTCTGTAAACTGCTTTTTTAAGTGCTAAATATTCTTGAAAATGTAATTTTTTATTTTGATGAATTGAATGTCTGATAATTGGATATAAAAAGACTTTGAAGAATTGTTCTGTTTCTGAATTAGTTGTATGAAGGAATAAACGTGTTGCTGCAAATAAACTATGTGGAGTCCATTGTGATGGATTAGTCATTTGTAATAATGGAATCCATTCTTCAAATGACGGAAGTAATTTAAAAACTCTTGGTAATTTTCCAACATGGTAATGACTCAGAAAAGTTCCAAGTTCTTCAAAAATCTTTTTAACTTTCTGTGGATAAACTTTTTCTTTTATTGTTTTTTCTTTTCCTTCTATTTGGTTATTTTGTTCTTTTTGTTTTTCTTTCTTTTCTTCTTTCTTAATATCTTCATATTGTTGTGAAATCATTGTATTAACATCAACCACTTGAACATCTTGAGAAAATGCTGAAAGAAGTTTCTTTGTTTCTTCATCAATATTAACATCATATTCTTCATTATCTTTATCATCTTCACTATCTTCAAAACCATCACTTTCAAGGTCTTCCATTTCCATCATTTGTGCTTCATCTTGTTCTAATTCTTCAATTTGTTGATGTTCATTCACTTTTTCTTCTTCCATTGCATCTTTTTCTTCTTTTAATTGTTTCATTGCTGACTTAACAATTTTTTTTGATTCTTGCTCATTTAAGACTGCTTCATCTTGTTTTTCGACTTTTTTACTTTTTACTCGTACTGATTTGTGTGTTTTTTGAGCTTCTTCCATCTCCTTTTCAAGAGGTAATCGACTTTTACTTGCTGGTGTTTCATTTCCTTCAACAGCTCTATGTTTTCTTTGTCCTTTCATTACACTTTATCACTTTTCTTAAAAAAATAAAAGGGTAAAACAACCCTTTTCATATAACATTTTTTTAAATTATGTTATTTAAAAAATAAATTCTATTTTAATAAGAAATAAAAATCTATTTAATTTTATATCTTTTTTATAAAATAATTAGCATCTATTCTATTTTTATTGATATCCATTGAATTAATAGAAGTCTTTAACTCGTTATTCTTTTAATGAATAAATTTGTTGCAATAGGTTTAATGTTATTTTCTTCAATCACTTTATTCTTTGGAATGACTCCTATGATAGAACAACAGAAAAACATGAAGAAGATTATAATATATCCTGAAAGTCTCAATAGTACACATCTAGAAATTATTAAAAAAGAATTAAATGCTACACATTCAAAGAATAAAACAAATTCAATCAAAAATACTATAAACACAACAGTCATAAAACAAACAAATACATCTTTTCAAAGAATACAGAATATTAGTCATTATGAAAATAAAACTTTTAATACCACTAATATTTATACTTTAGCTGAACCAATTATAAAAGAAAAATATATAAAATTAGTTGGTGTGTCAGTGATTTTATCAATTATCCTTACTTATCTAACTTTGTGGCTTTTTTCTTGATTTATTAATAACACAATTGAAATAATTTTTTGTTATTCAAAAACTTTATAAGAACTGATGAAAAATCTTTTTAAAATATCGTTTGAGAATAAACATGTATGATGAAGAAATTTATAACGTGATGAAAACGTTTCTAGAATTTGAATTTACTGATGACACAACAACAAAAGCAATTAAACCGTCTAAAAACAAAGATATGATCTACAGAATTGAACAAAAGTTTCATAAGAAAGATGAAACACCAAAAGCCACTGAAAAGAAACCTGTTCTCAAAATGACAATTTCGTTAAACCATTCCCAAAAGGCAAAAGAAAATGAAAAGACAGAAAGTAAAGTAACAGAAAAGGATTCTCGTGGAAGAGAAGTTGAAAGAAAGTCATCAGAAGGAAGAAGTGATAATAAACGAAGTAGTGAAAACAAATCACCACATAGATCAAAAAGATCAAATAGTCGATCAGCCAGAAGACATAGTCATAGTCAAAAAACGAAAGAAGAAGATTCTAAAAAGAAACTACCTGAACGTAACCTTTCAGAAGATGCAAGAACTCTCAAACACAAAGGAGATAAATTAAACAATGATGAAAGAACAGATGATGCTTTATTGTGCTATTGTGAATCACTCCTTTGTTATGGTCAACTTATATTAAGAAAAGAAATGACAAGATTAAATATTGGTGAGTTATTGGAATTTGTTATGAGAGAAGCAGAAAAGAATCAACGATCAGAAATTGCTCGTGGAGTATCTAACATTTTAGCTCAATTATATTTTTCATTATTTTCATATGATCATGCATCAGCCCTCCAATTTCTTCAGGACAAAGTCCCAGTTGGAGATGAAATGGCACCAAAGTTATTACACCAACTAGATGGATTGAAAAAATTGAATCGTTAAAAATTCCTTTTCAATTCAATTAAAAACATCAATAATTAATATAATCCTTCAAACAGTAATTTATAGTATTGTTCTGATAAATAAAACTCTTTTCCTAATACACTTACATTTGATGATTGAGTTGGTTTATTTAATGTCCATCGTTTATTAGTGTCTCCGTGTTGAATAAAGTCTTCATATAATATTCCCACTAGTTCATTTAATGTCATCTTCTTTCCCATAGCATTCATAAGGTCTGTGAGATGTTTGTGTAATGTTTTCTTCATTCGAATACGACTTGTTTCATCTCCTGCTTTACTTAGCTTTCCTTTTTTCTTATCTTCTGTACTCTGTTCCATTTATTTTGATTATAGTTTTAAGTTCTTTTTATTCTTTTTGTGAATTCTTTGAAATTATTATAGACGATATTTTACAAAACACCATTTGTCATCTCTCTTTTCAATAAACTAGTACTTTATGGGAAGAGAAAAGAATTAGTTTCAAATTTGTCACTTATAAAAGAATCTACAAACAATAATGATTGTTCAAAAACAATCATAGAAATTTTTTCATAACCTGAGCCATCTTAACACAATCGAGAAGGAGTAAAAAGGTAATAATAATAAATTAAATGATATTAATGATTTAGAACAAATTGATTTTAATTCAAGAAGTAAAAGAAAGTAAAGAAAAATAATAATTATAAAATAATTATCAAGGAATAGATAATTTAATTTATTAAAGGAAAAGAATAAAGAAAAAGTAGATAATTAAGTGTTAATAGTTTTATTTTATATTGTTCATTGTTCAGTGGAGATTAATTAATCACTTTGTTTTAAAAGTATTTGTTCATCAACTTTTGGATTATTCTTTGATTTTAGTTGTTGAATTATGATAATTTCATTTTCTCATTTATTTATTGTACAATAAAATATTTTAAACATCAATTATTTAAATATTCATTATTTATTTTCTTTTTAATTTAATGCGTTTAAATTTCTTCTTTATTTTCTTATTTTAAAGAGAATATATAATTATTACTATATTACTATAGGTTAATATTCTTTTTACCTCAACACTAAATCCTTTTCCTTTGATAATCTTATATTATTAAATATATTTGTATCACATTAAGTAATAACATCATCTTTATAAATACCTATTCGTTTATTATCAATGATATCACATCATTGTACATAATAAACACTATTATTCTTGCAGTATTGATTATGATGTTTTTCTAACCAAATACAATATCATAACCATTCCATAACTGGTAGATTTGAGTGATGATAATATTTTAGGGTATTGTGTTGTGTATCTGATGTGCTATTTTCGAATCATAATGTTATTTAAAATAATAAAAAATAAATAACATTTAATTTAAAATAATAAAAATGAAATGATGTTTATTAAAATAATAAAATAATAAATAAAATGATGTGTTATAAACGTGTATTTAGT